GGCTTTACGGCATAACCAGGTTTCAAATCCCCCTGGGCAGTTGCCCCCACCCCCTGTCGGCGGGCCTGCAGACACTAAAACAGATTTTACAACTGGCCACAAGTATATTTTCGTTTTGTCTTTAAGTTGTGAATTAATCTTAGTAGTTTGGAGCTACTTAGAATCTCCTGTTCGCAGTATTTTTCCGTATATAAATGACTACCTAAAATTATTTATTGGAAATTGTTCTACACTTACTGTCACATTGAGGCCTCCAGTAGCTTAAAAATAATTAGCACACATTTTAAGTTTTTATGCATGTGTAATACTTCATATTAAAAATTGTTATATGGTTAGGAAATTAAAAGATTAGGAATCTCTAACCCGAACTAGATGTCATCCAAACAACTTATTATCTATTATTGCGAAAGTCAGTTTGAACTTGAGGTATTGTATTTTAAATGTTCATGTTATCCTCGACATTTTCTTTAAGTATTTTTAAATCTATACTCTCACAGAATTTGATCGGCTTATTTCGAACGCCTCTTAATATCTGGTTGGCTATTTTCTAGCTACTCGACAACAGCTTTGATTTGGGGTGGTATAGATACAAAAAGATTTCAGGATGTATTTGGAGAAATAAATGACCAAATGTCTCTAACTGCAGCTCACAATCAGCCCAAAGTTGTTGGAAGGAGATGATGATGCCGAATTGATGTTTAAGCCTATCCTACAGATGTTCCGTTGGGTTTCCAATCTGGCGATTCGAGGTGGCCAGGGAAGATGACCGAATATATCATGCTAAACTAACCAGTACCATATTCCAGCATAATGAATTGTTGTATTATCTTCTTGGAACCATGATAGGCTATAATTTTCAAGTAAGTTATAGAGTTTGCTTGACCTTTCAGGTGAACTAAGGGGCTCAAACTATGCCACAAATGCATCCCACAAACATCATACCTTCTCTTGCTTCTGAACTACGAATATCACACAACTTGAGTCAAGTCTTCGTTAGGTTTCTTTCAACTGTAGTCATTCCAGCCATGTTAAACTGCGATAAGGTGAATTTGTAAAAAACACACGACGTTTGTCCAGCAGCCGTCAATAGTACACTCATGTCTCAACATGCACTAGCACTGCGAAAGTATCGTTCGGTTCCGCTCCAAAATCAGTTCTGTGTGTAATGTTTGATGGCTGCCATACGTCATCTTCTACAATCCCTTTCGCACGGTTCGATTTAATAAAGCTGATGTACTTAGAGAATCAGTCATTTGTTCTACAGTCTGGTACCTGGAACTTTTAAAGACCCTCTTCAGTGGCGTTTGCCTCCATTGCATACCAGTTTCTTTCATCCGCACTTGCTTCTACGGGAATTCGTCTTATTGCTAACCAACTAGTTTTAATATATTCTGGATATGCTAATCTTCGAAATACCAGTCACTTCGGGGTGAAATAGGCGACTGAAGGAATAAAATAACACGAATCTAAAAACATTTTATTATTAATTTTCTATTGTGCTCGTCTGACGTTCATTAACAGATGAAAAATGAGGTTAGACAAATCACTAAGGAAGATACAATTTTAATCGGTAATGTTTCGAGCAACCGTCCCTCCTGAAACCTTAACATCGACCGTTACAATTCTGGAATACTAACTGACGTACCTGTTCAATGCAATGGGAAGACATAGGGGAGCCAGATCTAAACTCTGATCCTCCAATATCACTCTTCGAGGGCCCTTAAGGGTACATGCTGAGTTTGGTGACACTCGGTACAGCAGATAGCCAATTATAAGTGGGCACAGGGACTTGTATCAAACGGTTTATTTGAAAAGTTGGTTCCAATATTCTAACAGTCGGAACTTCACTGATTAACTACGTTTCTTTGCGATTTTTCTAGCCTCATTTCTCATTTCTTATAATCCAATTTGTTATCTACGTGGATTCAATTCTTTTAGTAATGTTTATTATGACTTAAAAGTTTAGAATATTATCTATTTTACTGTTATAAAAGTATATAACTGCCAAATAAAGCCAAAAACCAATTAAATTATATAAGCAAAATTGTGATATTGTAACTTATAATCAAAATATGTATTTGACGCTGGTATTTAATATTTGTTTTTTTAATTCTCACTTAAGTCAATGCTTGTTTTAGAATTACCTTTGTTACTTTAAGAAGATAATATCTTGAAATAAAGGGTTATATTAACATACAATGGCTGTATATAGTAGCTTGTATCATAGAAGATTAAAAGGGTAACATGTAAAAACTGGAATTTTAAATAAATACAAAATGTGGTCTAAGTTTTAATTCAAAGTATTTACTGGAATGTAACAAGGTTGCCACAATATTTTTTTTAGCACATGATATTCGATAGGTTTGTTCACAGAACACTACACCTTATTTTTTTCAGCGCGAATACAACATACTAGTTACAAGTTGATCACATCTGATATGAAAGTTTGCTAAAGGAATGGGAACTATTTTGTGCAGCATTGAGGCTATTCTGCTATGTTACTTTAACATGCAGTGGACCAAATAGTTATGGTGATATATGGGCTACCATATCACAGTGTCAGCTGTGATTAGTGCATTTACACCCTATCTTGTTTCGATGCAATCGTCGCATCAGGTATAACGAACGTTGAGCAACTAAACATGATTCAAGGTACAAATATGTGACAATATATGTTTCAGTGAAAATATGAAGCCCTTTTTAAAACTTATCAGTGTAATTTAAAAATAAAAGAAGCGTAATAGTTTGCCAGTAATGTTAACGTTTTCGTGCTAACTGCGTTGCTCATCACTTCATTTATCAATTTGTTTTTGTAGGAGGACAGTAAAATGTTTCAGATCAAGTTTTTAAGAATAATTTTCTTTTACCAAGTAAACAATATATTGCATCTCAGAATAACGTTCTCATAGGTTTTTACAAGAATCTTGAATATTTAACATCCCCCCTTTAAAGAATATACTAAACGAAGTAAATCTAATAATGGTTACATGATATATTTCTATAGCAAGTATTATTATTGTAAAATTAAACGAAAAATCTGAACGGTAATGTAAATAAAATCATCTAGATTCAGACCTGTTGACGTAACATTAAGTTTTCAGTTTAGATTTTTTGAAAATTATTTACTATTGCCGAAACTGTTCGCTGAATTTAAATAATTAAACACATTATAAAGTTCTAGCTGATAACTTGATTTCTTAATACACGAGTAAACGTTTTCCCTTTTTGTTTTTATTAATAGTAAAAAAGGACAATATATTCGAATCAAGTGGAGCTAGAGATTGATTCGAACTTTTTCATTAGGTTTTATTTTTGTGACTGAAATTTTAAAATTTGCTAATAATAACGATATTTTGAGTTTAAATAAAAACCGTATATTCGGCTCGCTAACTGGATAATTTGGCTTAAATTAATGAATGGCGTTAGCATGTACTACATTTTAGATCTTCCATTCGTTTAACATTAATCTACATTGAACTAGGATAAAAAAGAAATTTTATAAGAAAAATATTTGTGAAACGGTATCACTTTTGTGTCTATGTTTTGAAGTTTTCTCTGTTAGAATGTTTTATGCATTTTGATAGATAAAAAAACATACATAAAACCTGGAAATGTTAAGACAAAATTCTGAATAGATGTAAAACGTCATAAAATGAACATGGAAGTAATTTTATTTTTCTTTAAATTAAAATACCAAAGTATTTTTTGTACACACAAACATAGAATATTATTTCAAAATTTTTCATAACATAAGATTTACAATAAAGCCATCATATTAGACTATTTGAAAATCAATAGTAGTATAAAAACAAAACAAAGAATATCGTGGGCAAGCCTTAAGTGTCAAAGTGAATGCGCGAATTACTCGTAAAATTCCACCGTTACAATTTTGTATGCGGTCATCCACACGGTCCTTGTAAATCATCTGTCTATAAAATTTGGACTGTGTCTAACTCGTCAAGTTGGTTCCTAGATCGCCGGACCTTTTTCCCTGAAAAGTAAGTATTATATAAGTAGAGATTTGTATCTGATTAATGTAGGAACTTCTAACTTTAATTTCTATAAGATGTTATGAAGTTATAGAGACCGATATTGTTACACGTGGAAACAAACAAAATTTGATTGTATTGGAACAACTCATACTTCTTATTATATTTCTAAGCTTATTTAAACTACTTAAATAGGGGTTGAATTGATAAAGTGGAGAAATAAAAATGTGAATGACCATTTCTTTATTTTTAAAATTGGATTTGGATTAGGGTTGCTTGGCTGAAACGTTGACCAGATATTTCACACTGCAGCTTCAGCCATTTCTATATATTTTCAGAACTTGATCATATTGAAGTTGAATTTGTACGAATTTTCTTTAAAAATACACGAGAGAATATAAATTTCTTACCTTAAATGGACAGTAACATTTTCACTAAAAATGTGATATTTACCTTATCAGTAAAAATCATTGTATATTTAAAAAAACAAGTTTGTTTTACGTCGTGATGACGTTTTCTGTTATTAAAGAAAGAAGTATTTTTCAGAGAAAAAGTATAGTACACAGGAACCCGTGACAAAAGAGCTACTACATAGAAAATGCCAACCCTTTTCTTTTTTTTTAAGCCCAATCAAAATTTAGATTTGCATGTGCATTAGGGTGCATCGAAAATATAAATTTCGTATATTATTATCGGCAGGGTATGCGATTGGTGTCTTTTAACAGTAGTAATTATGAGGATAAGTTTTAGGCTTCTAAAATTATATCTTGTACTGCCGCGAGGGGGGATATATATTCCTTAAAATACCCATAATCAATGTATATGAGAAATCAAAGTAGTATAACTTTAAATATGCAATGTTTAGATAATTTAGGAGTTTTATATCCTAAATTACCCAAACCTCCTCACGAGGAGGTAGTTGCATGTCGAGTTCCACCCAACCACCCTTCCACTGGGCAATAGAATTACTGGATTATGTATTGTTTCTTAGAATTAAATTTGTTTATGATTTTGCGAGATTGAAGTTTTGCTTTAATGAATCCCTTCCTTCTGCGATAACCACAAACAGCTGCTGAAGCTTCTGTTACAATTTTAACATGTCTTTCAACTACTTGTGTGTGACACTGCATGCTGAGCTTGGAAACTGGCGTGTCATCTTAATTAATGAAAGACACGAATTGTTTATTGCTTATATTTTTTGTTAGTGGTGGCTCTACTGTCAGTCCACATTATTAAATCAGTGTAATGTTGAACTTCCATAGTAATATTTGGAACCACAAACTGTCTTATTGTGCTAGAATTTGAGTTAGATCGAGCAGTTAATATTCTACAACGAGCAAGTTGTCTGATAGCCTTAGAATTATCTCCAAGTATTGCAAGCAGCGAATTTTTCGGGTGGGCAAAATATGCATTTCTCCGGATTACTCTATCCACCACATATTTCTCTGATTCAGGAAGAAAACGCAATTTTCTTACAAATAGAAAAAGGTGCAGTGAGCCATGGCTGCATGAGGGATCTTTCTTGATATTAAACCAAACTGTTGCATACACTGTTACATATCTCACTAACTAACTAAGCTTCTTAGATGGGTTGGCAGTTGTGATGTAAAGACGTAAAATCCTGTTTGGTGTTGTTAACCAGCGAGAATGGTTCATTGTACCAGGGTCACGTAAAGCAAGTTCTCTTGAACAATGACCTGACACTACCGATTTGCAAATGTCATAGAAATATTTTTGATTTGTATTAAGATCCTCAGGGTGGTCAATTTTCGGTAATGGTCTGTAATTTCGACTGAAACAAAGTTTACTGAAGGCAATGATTCACAAGTCTTCAATTTATTTCCAATAGAAGCAGAAAAAGCAGATGGTCATTGAATTACTCTGTCAAGATGCGTAATTAGATGATGCAGGGGTAACTCTTTTGCACGTAACAAACAAATTAACCAATGAACAGGTCTTCCTAAGCGTAATTCAAGAAGTCGCACAACTCCAGTTTTTTTTTCCAGTGTTGACGTATGTGCCGTCACAGCATACAGCGACTAACTGATAAGATGAAATTTTATCTTCAAATCACTGAATGATAGAATTTTTCATACTTTCTGATGTTCCGGAAGAAGAAGAAGAAGAAATGTGATCCATGAAAATTTATTCAGGTTCATTGACTAAAGTTATGTGCAGTTCCATGACTACACGTTTATAATGTTTAAGCCCATTTTTAATGATAATTTTAGTTATATCTTTTCTACATTTGATTCATCAGAAGTCAGTAATGTTTCTCGGTATTTTTCTCGTTCGCGTTGTATCTTGTTTTTATCGACAATTTTAACATTGTCATTTTCTTGAATAATGCCCATATCTTCCAAAACAGCTGAGGTAAGAGCTGTAGCAGCTCTATCCGAAATACAGTACCTGTCGCTTCTCTCACTACCGTTGGAAGCGGTTTGTTTATTTATTTTAGGATTTTGGGATTTCGATGTAGAAAGTGCAATATTACCAACATCAGAATATTCTGAGCTTAAAACCATTAAGTCCTCGTGATTAACTATTTCATTTAGTGGAAAGATGATACACTTTTGTTTCAAACTTTGGTTCGCTTGCGGTAGTTGAATATATAATTGGAGGAGTTTCATACTGCATAATATTAATTCTTATAATAAAAGGCAACTATTGCACACCCTGCCGACTAGGAATTACAAAATGAAATTTTCGACTAAGTAAATTCGATGCACCCTAATATGAATGCATTAATTCGATAGTTGTAATGTAATTGTACATGTCAGAATATTTTAGAAATATAAACAATGTAATGGTAAATTATTGGTCACAACACTTTGAATGATTATGATATAATAAAAACCTTACGCTGCAAAAAGGCTTAGCAGTAAGTCTGAGGACTTATCTATACAAATATAATAGCCAAATGTTGGTCTGACTGTTTGTAACCCTCTGTAACTCCTGAATGGATAATCGTACAAAAAATATATGTATATTAAAATTCTTTTCGAGAATACATTACAGAAAAATTATAAATTTTTTTGCAATTCCGAAAATTTCTTATCGATAGCAACATCAATTCGTCAGTCTTTTTATGTGCTGATCTGTCAATCTGAGAAAAATAAAAACTTTTTTTCAAGAACGGGACTTCCTCCGTCGACTGATTAAAAGAAATATTTCGAAAATAGGAGCATGAACGAAAAAGAAGAAAAAAAAAACGCACAAAAAGATGAACGTGTTTGAGTATATATTTGTTGTTCTTCAGTTTATATACATTTTATTTTATTATCGATATTGTATACATGTATGACTTTATTGTACCATGTCGAATAAGTTGATTTGAATTGAAAATTTTTGCTTTGGACAATTCTTATAGAAATGACAACTGTCAAAAAGCGCTCACTTCGGTAGTGGTCTTTTCTTGCACTTAGTATAATGATAAGGAACGGTGGCATCCAGCGGAAAAAAAATCCCTACGGCTACTTAGCGAACCGCAGTTCTTTATTGTGCTGGATGCACCCATCGCATCGAAATCCAAATATTTTCGCCTTACAATGCATTGCAGTCACTCTCCTTTGGTTAGAAACAAACGCAATGCAATTTTCCTTAGTGAAATAACACCTGGAATGATAAAAGACGGTTGTAAGACGACCCCTTAGACAATCATATTGCATATGCGATCTGATCCAAGGAAATGGATATATAAATCATATTTATTCATCACTATTTTAAGGGAAATTCCCGTTGAATTGTTTCAACGGGCATTTACTAGTAACAATATAAAATCAGGTTTCAATAGCCGCAGTAGGAAGAGCATAGATAGCCCATTGTTTAGCTTTGCACTTAACAACAAATAAATACTGCACAAAACAGTTAAAAAGATAAACGGAATTTGCAATACTATTATTACTATACTTATGTTAAAGCAAAACCACTTTTGTAAAATATCAGCAATCACCCGTCAGTTCATTGTTGTGTAATTTAGGCATTTGATAATCAGTCATACGATCTGTTCTTATTAAGAACAAAAATGTTTTTGTTTTTTTGTGAAGACATTTTAAGAAAAAAAACGGGATTTCCTCTGTCGACTGATTGAAAGAAAATTTTGAAAGGAAAAAAAACAGAAACGTGTTTGAGTATATATTTGTCACGCTCTATATCTCCTGAATGGTTAATCGTAGAAACAATACAACAAAATGCTTCTTTTCAAGAGTACATTACAGGAAAACTATTCATTTTTAGCAATTCCTAATATTTCATATCGAATTCATCAACGATCCGTCAGTCTTCGTATGTGCTGAACGGTCAATCTGAGAAAAAGTTATTAAGAAAAACACATATATATATTGAAAAACAAATAACATCAACAAGTGCATTGTTCCAATTAGCATTTATCAAGTAATTATTGATGGAAATTTCATCCATGAAAACTGGTCAGTCACGTGAAGCTCTTAGCGAATTGGATACAAGAGTCTCAAGATGTCGTTAGCTGAATTTGAAACCTCCTCCAAACCAGTGATACTGTTATTTGAATACCTGGATAAGTGTAGATCATTATCCAGAATAAAAGAAGACGACAGCTATAATTTAATTCTGGTTATCGTGGTTCTCTGCAATCATAGAGTAATGAATAAAGTGCTTGCAGCTGTAATTGGACGCCAAGTCAATTATAAACAGTTAGAAATAAATTTTACAAGGGGTTCATTTTGGTCATAAGGCACCAAACAGCACCCTTGAAGCGGTTACGAGAACACGTCCAGTGGACCGACCATTGATAGGTGAGAAATAGACTTCTTACAAATAAACCGTGTTTCATCCTGCAGCCTGATATCAGGCGTATAATCATTTAAAGAAAAATGTAACCAATTTCAATCCTTGTTTTCATATAGAAACGTCACTCATATAGCGGTGGTGTATGTACAGTTGTGGGAAGAAATAAGTAGTAGTCAACACACCAATTTCTAAGTTCTTTAGAATGGTGCCATTAATGTTAAACCTTATAGAGATAACATTTTATCACATTTTGTACTTCATATGCAGGTGCAATCACTCTTAACTTTAGTCAAATGAGTGATAACGCTTTTTTCCACCTTTCTAATCATTCTTTGAAGAGAGTATCTGAATGGAGTGACTTGTATCCTTATAATATCATTACCAAACATAAATCCCATCGATCATGGAAAGACGTATTTGATGCCCTGGAAAAAAAAACACTTTCAGAGGAGTGGTCAAAAATACTCCTGGACCTTATTAACACTGATTTTAATGTGAAATGCTATGAACTGTGAAGACGTAAAGCCACCTTTACCAAATGTTCACTTACGAGCTTAGGTTCAATGAACAGTAATTTGCATTTCAGATCAAATGACAGATTTGAATACAAATGAGCTAAGGGAATTGTTGGCATTATTTCATACAATTGATTTTGCTTTGCCATAGCTAAACTACTATAAGTTCCAAGTAGCCTTTGTTGTAAGATTAGTCAGAATCTTTATAAAACGTTAGGTAATAAAATAAATGAACATTGTTAAGATTATGTGTCAACTTATGTAGAAGAAGATGGATTTAATCAAAATTAAGCGACGTTACTTTCAGTAAAATGTAAAGAACATGTAAACTGTAAAAGCATATAAGCTTACCTGAATTTCGATTTACCCCTTGACCTTAGGATATAGTATTTAGCATAAACATTTAGAAATTCAAAAGAAATAATTCCAATAGCGTGAATACCTCTAGATATCATAAACATATTGTTTAGTTGTTGTTTTTTGTTATTAAGCACAAAGCTACACAAGGGGCTATGTGTGTGTTTTGCCCACCACGGGTATCGAAACCCGGTTTTTAGCAGTATAAGTCTGCAGATATACCATTGTGTCACTGAGGACTATTGTTTCGTAAAACATGCGGTTATTTATACATCTAACAGTGACATATGTTACATGAAATCTTCCAGTACACGCTATAATTTCCGTAATGCTTCAAAACAAAAGACTGAAGGAAATTTGTTAAACACTATTAATTAGAACTTACATTATACTATAATTTGAAGTTCAACTAATCTGGTACAAATGAACGAGAATTTTGGCCTTAATTTTAAGAATTTTGAAACTTATTATTTAAATGTTTAAATATTTCTCTTCAAATGACACATACATACATAAAACTAAATGACAACAAGAATAACAAGGATATACAATGGCACACCTAATAGATGTGTTACGTACTACAATTTCAAATGCTTTGAGAATAGCTGCTTTAACCTTATCATAATTCGAACAATCTTCTAACGAGAGAGTGGCAAAAGCTTCTTGTGCTTTACCAGTTAAAACACCTTGTAATAATAATGACCATTTTCGGTGGGCTATTCCATGATTTGGGGAACTTTCTCAAAATGTTGGAAATATTTATCAACTTCATTTTCATTAAATGGTGGCACTTTAATATAGCAATTAAGTTCAAAGTTGTCATTTTGCCTTGGTCGATCGGAGTTGAGTCTAATTTCTATTTCTTTCAGCCTAATTTCTTTTTCGACCTCTAGACGTTTATTTTCTCTTTCAGCTTCGCTATGAGCTTGTTCTTTATCGGCTTCGATATGAGCTTGCTATTTCTCTTTCAGCCTCGCAATGAGCTTGTTCTTTCTTGGCTTCGATACGAACTTGCTCTTTCTCTTTCTCTGCTTCGATACAAGCTTGTTCAAGTTCGAGTTGTTTGAGTTTTAGCTGGATCTCTAACTTATCTTTATCACTCAACCCCGATTGGCTAGTGGGTACACTAGAGTATTCCTCTTATGCTTCATCGGGCAACAAATCATCGCCGACTAGTATTTCGATAATATGCTTTTTTACCTCATTTTTTCTCATTGATCTTTGAACTTCTAGTTCTAAAATTTTGACAACTTCGAGCAATTCATTTTTGTTCTATCTTTCGAAGGAAGGTGATTCAAGAAAATCTTGATAATCAGACATGATCAAAACTTATTGGCACTGATAGATATAGATTTAATTATGATATAAATTTTAATTTAGATTGAATTTTGTCTCTGATTCAGATCACGGACACGAGTCCCCAATTTATTATGTTACTATTACAATTTCGAATGATCTGAAACCGAGCTAAATGATAATATAAATTCAGTAGTTAAATAAATGCCGATATATCTCCAATTTATGATATTTGCCAACAAGATTGATACACACAGTTTTCTTCTTTTTTTAAATATACAAATATGTTTTAATATACAACCAATAATACAATTTACAATAACAGTTATTACAAACAATGATTTATATACAAAAGTTTTACAAAGTTACAGGCAATATAAAATCTTCTTTCTAGACTGGAACTTCCTTGATGTCTTATCGAGGGTTCACGATGAGCGAGTTAATTTTGAGGTAATGTAGGTACAATTCACTTAATAGGGAGCTAGCTAGCTCTGTAGTTCTCGCTGATCACACGCCGATTACAGGTCGGGTTTCTTTTACCGCTGAAGTTATATAATATCTTTGTAAAAGTACTAATGTCCGATGTGAATCCACTGAAGTTAAATGGTTTCTAATGTTCGAAATTTATAAATGTTCCTGGTCAAATATCTGAAGTGTCCAGATTAATAAGCGTTATAACAATTACAGTTATAGCTTCCAAAGTTTAGAGCAAACCAATAATAGATACTCTTTTTTTGGCGCGTCGCGTTGGTTATATTTATAGGCGTGTGGAGAGTTTTTCGAAATTTTAGTTTTACGTAACAATACTGACGCTAACACTAGCGTTTATGTACACACATATATCTTCTTCAACTTTAGAGAATAGGTGGGAGTTTCTCAATACATATTTAACAGTATAAGTTATGTACTTTTCTAAATGCCCCCCAGTTGGCATAGCGGTATGTCTGTGGACTTACAACGCTAGAAATCGGCTACCGTTGTGTAGCTTTGTGCTTAATTTCAAGCAAACAGTTCTAAATATAAATTTAATTTAAACAAACATCGATGTTAAAATAAATATGTAATAATAAATCCGTCACAGATGTATCTGGAACTGAAGCAACTAAACATTTTTCAACGTTTCGCTTAACTCTGAACAGACGCTGCTAGCGTCCAGCGAAAAATCCCAATTTACCCATCGGACAATGCAGCGTTCGAAAACACTTATGTCTCTTTGTTGTTATCTACCTTTTATAAATAGACTGGAAATTTTATAAGGTACGGTGATAATTATTAGGACATCATGAAAATAATTCCGGCATAACGCGCAAATTTATGGGTTTATAAAGTTAAACAAACCCATTGTTAAGAATGAAAATTTTAATTATCCAAGAGAAATTACTTACATTGACGATCACATTCCGTTTCAGACCCGTGAATGATATCATGGTCACTTTCCTTGAAATGTTCCTTGTTGGTTGTGAATCGAATCTCTTCATCGGACTCGCTTCCAGAACTCCTTAATTAATAGAAACCATTATTTTACATTAGCAATCTAGTTGCTCATACAAAAGTTCAAACTCAGCCTACAGCTTTTTAAATACCTTTTCCTGTGAAATTTTCGCGCCATTGAAATAATAAAACTGATCTTACAATACTTGTAAATATATCTAAGTAAGTACCCGAATTAATCAATTGTAATGTAAAATATTAATTGTGTGGTCATGGTGAATAGCTCTTTATAATTATTCTACTATGTGACTGTTCAAAATCTTAGTAAATGATATAATAAGAATTTAATTTAAGAGTTATTTTTTATTTTTGGCAATTTAATAAAATGGAAACATTGGAAAATAAATCTAAAGAAAAACATAAAAAAGTCGCATGTAAAATGTAGTATTTTGTTCTTACGTCTATGCTACTTACAATAAATACCCAGAATACTGTTTTATAATGCTTTAACGATAATAGCTAAACCAACAGAAAACAAAATATTTTCCTGTAAAGTTGTAGGTCACTGTACATTTTGTATCACAATATCAATAGCAATGTTTAGATAGAGTTTGACAACACAGAATGACGACAACTAATACTTTTGAACATACTTTCAGTTTATTAATACAGGGCTTCGGAGAAGGATTGTTATATACAGTCCCTCATCCCCCGGACCCAAATATACATGTACAAACTAACTGTCAACAAGTTGAAACCTGTAATTCCTTAATAAGATAACTATTTATCCAATTTTGGATTAAAAGCATGCAGTATTACATACCATCTTGATAGATTTACCATGGCATTTGTATCCTTCTAACCTATTGGTTTTTGTTATAGTTTTACAGTTGAATATCATATTTTGAGGATTTGTATGAGCAGTAGTAATGTGAAGTTGTTAGTCGCTAGATTGCCTTAAGTACAACAACTTATGAGTAATTATGAAGCTTTGGGCTTACATGATAACACAAGGTATTTTTTATATATTGTAAACATTGCAAGCAAATTGAATATCTGTCCATGTCACTATTAATAATATTTCAACAAACTACTCAGATGAAAATGGGCTAAATGTTTTTAAGGAATCAAGGATAAGTTCTATCACAATACAATTGACAAATGCGCTAACACAAATACATTTCTGCCTAAACGGAAATCACAAGAGTCATTTGTTGAAGAATTTTATTAAGTAAATGAATAAAATTAACAAAGAGAAAAAATGCTCTTAGAATGTGTTTCATGGTTGTTTAATACGGTGAATATGTGAAAGCAACACTTAACTGCACTTCAACCTTTCAGTTACTTAATAGCAAAATAATAGTTTTCTTCTATTTTAATACATAAGTGGGTTTATCATCATTATGCCAGACAATTGTTTACTGTATGATTTTCGTTGTTAGAAGTTTACTTTTCTTGCCTTCTGTCTGGCAAAGTGTAATAAACCTACAAGTGTTGACATGTACAATTTCTTGTGAAGTGTTCATGATGACAAATAAAGGACAAAACAACAATGTAAAAAATCTGATTTATAGGTCAGAAGAACTAAGAAGGTAACTACAAACCAAGAAGCTCGTGACACTGCAAGAAGCTCCAAGCACGCACTCCACATTGTCGTATTGCCTTCAACTGCCGGAGACTCGGGCAGTCAAGTATGTAACACTGAGGATGTTCCTGATGACTCGGAATAAGAATATGAACCGACATTTGTTTAGCAGAAAATTTGCTGGATTTGTATGGGACTTCACCATATGAGATTTGGAAAAAGTTTTTTCCGATGACATGTTGGACCTTATCACTAAACAAACGAACTTGTATGCCAACCGTGACAAAAACAACACGAACTTCCATGCTTCACAAAAAGAAGTTCGCAACTTTCTGGGTGTTTTACTGCTATCAGGCTACAACAGTGTGCCTGAAAAGCATAATTATTGGTCAACTCAGCCTGATTTGGGCGCGCCGATTGTGTACCACACAATGAGTTAAAACAAATTTCTTGAAATCAAGAAATACGTGCATTTCACCTATAACCAGAATCATGCTCAAGGAGACAAGATTTCTCCATTGTACAATATGTTGAATGAGTCTTGTACAGTTTGGTGTGTTCCATAAGTTGCTCAGTGTGGATGAGTCCATGGTACCATACTTTGGCTGCCATAGTGCAAAAATGTTCATTAGAGGAAAAACAATTTGGTTTGGATATAAAAATTGAAGCCTTTGTGGTAGTGATGGTTATCCCTACCACATGAAGTTGTACCAAGCAAAAGAGGAAAAGGCTCCAAAGCAACCACTCGGCACGCATGACATTATCAATCTGGTTGATGTTATTGCTGCTAATTCGGAAGTCGAGAGGCACCAACTTTTTTATGAAAATTTTTTTTACCAATTACGATCTGCTGGCTAAATTGGCTGATTGTAATGTACGAGCGACTGTTACGATTAGAGAGAATCGTTCCGCAGGTGCGGCAACATCAATGGCCTCTACAAAGGATCTACAAAAGAAGAACAGGGGTTCTTTCGACGACCGTATATGTGCAAAAAGTGCAATATTCGGCTACATGCTGAAAGGGGCAAGCAGTGTTTTGAGATCTACCACTGCCCCTAAGTTCAGTGTCTATACAGAACACACGGTTTAGAGTGTTTCTTGTATATATTGTAAACTTTAGTAGAATGAAAAGCATTGAATAGAAACATAAGATGAACATATGTATCATTCAATAAATTTTGATTTAGAAAGTTATGAGGTCGCATTTTCACTATCTTATAACTAAGCCTCCAATGTTCCTTAAATGGAACATGCTGTAACTCTGAAACCGAAAGTGCTACAGAACTGAGATTATAGCTGTGTTTTAATTATGATAATTGTACACTTATATGTCAAAATCCTCAAAATTTGAAAACGTAATCAATAGCCGGTAGGATAAAGGATAATATTATTGACTACTCTATATTTTGTAGTGAACTTAGCAATAAGAGATTCTATGATCTTATAAAATATGTTTCTTCTGAATTTTGTCTCTTTTACAAGTTCATTTTCTTCACAATTAGGCAAAGAATCATTTTTATTTTCATCACGAAAATATTTGGGAATTGTTTTCCGTTTTGCAGGCGGTTGTGGCAGAAAATTAATATTATTTGCAACCAATTTAACTTCATTAAGAATTGAGCTCCAATGTTCACGCAATGTTTTTAAATTAGTCAACACACTTTCAGTGTTGCTCTCTTCAATACCAATGGTAGCTTTGCGGACCTGCAATACTTGATTGTGCTGATCAATGATTGTAAGTACCTTTAACCAGATTTCAGTCATCAAGATGCATGAAAATGACTGCACATAGTCAGTCCATTATACTTTTGATTTCAGCTCTTGTTTGAGATGTAAGATTGAGTTGAAGAATTTCTGAAAGTACATCCAGAATCCCAGGAAGATGAGCTGCAAAAGGCCTGCATTATCCACTCTGTTTGACCACCATGTTTGCAAAATTCCATGAAAAGTACAACCAATATTCATGAGAAGAATGATCCATGGCTGTGGGCTACAACTAATTAGATTGTAAATCTTCTGAACTATTACAGCGAATAAACGTTTGAGCCTCTGTGCACAACATTCTACTTCTTGTGCTCCACAAAGATTGAGACTATGACAAGCACATGGTGAGAATTTAATCAGGGGATTAACTTTTAGCAATAGAGCTTGAGCACAATTATTCTCACCAGCCATGTTGGACCTATTGTCATATCCTTGGGCTCTGCAATCTATTATTGGTATTTCAAGATCACCTAAGCAATCAAGTATTATATTACAAATATCAGCCCTGGTCTTCATATTGCAATGAATAAATCTTAGAAACCTTTCTTGAATGGCAAAAGAAGAACATTCTGATGGCATGGATACATACCTCATGACAAAAGTTGTCTGTTCTTGATAAAATAAATCAGATGTTAATCTACTATGACAGCAAAATATGTTGCTGAAAGTCTTTCCTGTAAAATAACGTGGCGAACATACTGAGCACAGGCTGCTATAAATTCATTCTGGGATTTTGACAAATAGTAGGTTTGAAGAACGATACTCTTTTCACTGATATTCTGGAACTCTCTCTACATGGTCCCCTAGAACTAGACTGGAATGACTGAGCAGCTCAATTATTCCTAAAAAAATTACAACTATTAGGCGCACCAATTCTTTGTGATGATCCACGAAGAGCTAAATCTCTCTACCTTAAGAAAAGGCGGCTAGGATAGCCTTCCATTTGGCTGCTCTTAAAATAATATTCTTCCCAGACTGTAAATCAACACGAATTTGCTCCAAAATGTCTCTCAAGCTCAGGTTTCTTCCAGCCTGTTGTTAATGGCCAGCCTTTTACAGTTGTAATTGTAGAACATAATGCAACTGGAGTCTTGGCGTGAAGTCGACATGGAAAACAGTACAAAACGTGCCCAATATTACTCCAAACTAGCCATTCACATTAACTGTATTCACCATTTTGCAGCAAAGACTTTAGAAGGGAATTTGGAAAAGGAAAATCTTTAAGGTGTTGTAGAGGCCCAGCTCTTAACAGCTAGCTCAAGGTTTTCAGCTGATACACTCTCATCAGTTAAGGTACCAACATCAAAGCCACCGATTACATTAGTGATTACATTTAGCTGTAGATAGTCACTTTGCTTTTCTGTAACAGGATATGCTGTGAGAATTTCATTACCATTTGTATTAGTATCATTTGATATTTCATCATTCTTATTCGATTTATTCGAAATAACAGCACTTGCGTCATGGTAATTACTGACATCAAACCCTGAATGGAAAGCTTCGGCTGATCTTCACTTTTCTTTTCAAAACCAACAACAAAAATAGTTTGTCTTCCTCTACTTTCAGCATATTCTTTCTGCTGTTTGAATTTCTTCTTTTGTGCACCAGATTTATGTTTCTATTGTTGAAACATTCCAAAATTGGAAAGGGATTTTAAGTTGAAAAAAAGAGAAAAAGAATATTTTATATCTTTAAGTCAAACTGAATTCTAGGTTTATATATTTAGATAGAATTTTGCAAGTGAACGTTAGTTATAAATATCACTAAGATTGAATAATTTTCATTCTTTTTTGTGGCAGAGAGACAAATAATGAAATTGCTTAATGAAAAAATAATACAGTTTAGGTATGAATATATGTATTTCTTTATATATATATATGTTTCTTACTATACGTATATTTTCATATATATAATAAACCATACTATACTGGTTGTTTTAACAAGGATATTGGAAACCTATCAATGAAGAGGAAGTCCATTTTACGTGCAATTCAACCAGTTTCTACTGTCCAAGTGACAGTCAGCCTGTTAGTGACATGATGTCTAGGAACAAGCTTGCAAAGTGAGAAGCACATGCCACGCCCATCTCTAGCATACTATATTTCAGAATTAGCCAATAAATAATTTTGATGCTTTACTTCATCTAACTTGTATCCTATAAAAGATAAAGTTGTAATCTATGAATGATGTGTAAATTTATATTTTTTCGCTATGGTGTAAAAGTCATAGCTCACGTAGTCTGTAAATTTTTGTAGAATTGTTCGGATGGAGTATCTAATGGATTTTTAAGGCGCTTACGTAATAGTTAGAAAGCCAGTTAAATTATAATAGTTATAGAATCTTGTTAATTGTTATTATTCTATGTTCTTAGGTGCATTTTGAAATAAATAAAAAAATATTTAGTAAACCATAAGCATGACTGTAAAAGTTTAAGTCTTAAATTTCACCTTGCACAAGCTCGCGAATTATGTAATTAAATACGGTAAGTTGGGCTGAGCACTCGCTGAGTGTTTTAGTTATACACGGTTCAAAAGACCAATAAAAAATAAAAATAAGTAGAAAAAAGATATAAAATGTTACAAGCCATAAACTATTCAGGATAAACAAATATAATTTGGAGTTACAATATGCAGTCATTCTAGAAAGAAAAAAATAGGGTAACTTAGAGTTATATCGTATTTTTCTTGGTGGGTACATGGTCGGTCAAATTTCAAAGGAAACATTTTATGTGAAAGTCAAGTCTCATGAAACTCGGGAAACAGAATTTTATACTTCTCCCACGACTCACATAATGACATAAAACTTTAAATTGGACAACTATCACATTTAGTTTTTAATATAATGAATTACCCTGATATTCTATGTTAATATCGATCAAAAAGCAAATTCGTATAACGAAGAAAGTACGATGGCGTACTTTACTTGGAACCGAAATGGACAGCAGTATTACGATCACCACATTAGATGGTTAATCAAATCGAAAACTCAGCTAACCATTCATTGGGTTACACACAATAAATTATCAAAAATGTGTTGAAAATATCGCAGTTCGGGGATAAAACCTCAAAATTCCTCATGGTCAATTTTCAATAATTAAACATGCAACCGACAAGTGTTTCTACCAGCTTGGAGAAGGTGGTATATTGGGTGAATTAAACGACATAACATTGTAATAGCTTAGTGCGGTAATCATAGTATTTTCTTATACTGACTGATGTCGTTGTGGTAGTGCATATTTTAACTATCATCAGCGAATGATAATCTTTATAATACTTATATTTATTACTTACATCGTCTGTATGTTATTTGATCAACACTTTATTATTTTGTCTTTACATTTTATCCCCCTCTGTTCCGTACCCCCTAAAGTGACGGGCCCCCAGGGATTTTCCCCCCGATATTCCAGACCTTTCGGTAGACCTGCACTAATAATATATGACGTAAAATCTTTCGAAATATTTGTCAAACATATATATATTAAAAAACAAATAACAACAAAAAGTGCATTATTTCAACTAGCATTTCTTAAACAATTATTGACAGTAAGTTACTTATATAAAGAATTCTAGCAAACAAAGTTATATTGGTGGTTTATGTCATTTACCCATCTCCAAAATCTCTTCTACGACCTTTCTGCCCGTGGTCTGCAGGATTGTGACTTTTCCTGTATAAGTACGGTTTACCTTCCTGCAGAAGAGCTGGTAGGAAGAAGTAAAAAATTGTAAGACAATTAAAAAACAAGGACATGTAAAATATGAAATTAAGTATGTAATCCATTAATAGCGTGTGTATTGAGAATCTAATCTGTTTGTCTATAGACAACGTTATTCGCTGAACGGAAAGCCACGTGCGGGAAAAAACAAAACAAAACATTTATATTGTTATCTATCACTATCAGATATACTTCGGGAAATAAGGAACATGTGCACATTTATCTTGTTGTGTACGAACGTCCCCCGATAAATCAACGCTAAAATAGGGAGTCCGATTCCTTCCTGTTATCAGAGCGCAGATAGCCTATTTTGTAGATTGTGCTAAAGACCAACAATAACAACAAGCTTCAAATTATGCAAGCAATGTGTCGAGAAGTTCAGCTAAGTTTAATTAATATTTTCACACAGCTTCACAATATACAGAGGTTGGATACGTTGTATTGAAAATATTTTGGAGCCACACATTGTTGTTACGTTTTACGGTCCATGCGGCACGTCCTGTCATCATATACCTAATGGCCAGACAATAATGCATCTTGACACTAACCTTGCAGCATAGTTTACATTGCAACAGGCTCCGTCGTAAGGTTGTCATGAATTATGCACATCACTCCCCTGTTGGTTTTCCATAATTCATATAATGTAAGAGAGCGACGACTTCTCACATGCCTTTTCCAACAGTTTAATCACACAGAAATCTATTGACGTTGCATCCGGTAACTTGGTTGGTACCCCAAGTTGATCCAGTAAGTAAAAGGAATATACATGTCATGGAAAGTATAAATTCCTGATATGAACATAATTTTTATGGTGATCTGAGTATATGAATATTTTGAGTTGGAAAGAGTTGTTACATATCTTTCCAAAAAAGCGATCAATTTTGAGTGGTATTACTTTACCTAAGGAAAGACCAAATCATGCCAAAATGTAGTTCTGATACATTATGTTGCACCGCAACATTTTATCGATTGTGGTTGTCTCGTGACTCGCTGATTTGCATATTCAAAATCATTTTAGTATAACAAATTCAACCCTCTGCAAAGCTCTGTAAAGAACTCTCATTTTGGAAGAAAAAAAATTGGCAAAAACAGTAGGCCGAAGTAGTCGGTAAAGCAATTATAACTATTATAAAGTTGTCTAATAATTCCTTAACAGATCATAACAAACATCGATGTCACTGAGGGTGGATGTTTTGATTCCAAAGAACATCCACTAGGTTGAACTAACGGAATAAAAACAAGGATACTAAATTTAAATTTTAATTTAGGAAAAACTCTTTTAAATTTTAAAAAGTATCCTCGTTACTGTTTTGATTATGGCATTGCGTATCATAAAACAACGATTGTGTTGTGGTTTTGGAAGTATTTTCAAGTGCTTTCATAAAAATTGAAATATTTTAATGTAAGACATAAAGAAAGAATAAACAGAGGAAAGACATTCTTAATAAGACGTGATTGCTGTGTGCTCGGTTTTTAGTAGGATATATATATATATATATATACGAAGTATTATTATTTTTTGCATCCCGGTGGAACAATGGTAAGTTTACGGACTTATAACGCTAAAATCCAGAGTTCGATTCCTTATGGTAGACAACGTGAAGATAGCCCATAGCTTTGGGCTACCGAAAAACAATAGTTTGTTTTATTAAGTCACATTTTATAAAGGTATTAGATTTTCGTGATTTTACACATCCACATCTTCTGCCGTCAATGTTAGATTATTGAAATTATAAATAAAAATATACTTGGAAAATGAAATTAATTTTCAAAAAACATGAGGTCTTCTGAAGAATAAGCTTAGAACAGTGAATTATAACCTATCACAACAAGAGTAACGTTTGATAATTTTTTCAAGCTTGTTGATACTTTTGTATTCTCAAACTCAATGCCTATTTAGTTTTTGTATGATTAGAATTTGAGACGATCTGTACAATCTGTTTCTCGTCTAAAGATTGAATGTTACAAAAAAAGGTTGTCCAAGGGTAGCAGAGATAAGAATAGCGTATTAGCGACAATTTCTAATTTAATGAATACAATCGTCTATTCAGAGGTTCTTATACCAACCGTATGACTTAGCACATTATTATACATAACTGAATACTGTAATCGGATGACATGACTTTAGCTTTGAGGTTGGTTTCAGGTAATATTGTTCAAATAAAGTATTGTCAAAATGAGCTTGTATATAATGGGACGACGTGATGATATCACACACTGGCTATTCTTAACATAGCTTTATTAAGTAATAGTTTTAGTTGGTTAACATTTCAATTTCCACGATCTAAGTCAAATTATAAGAACCTCCACTTTCCCAGGAATATCTTTCATAAAAATACTGTTCCTGAGAAGAAGCCAACGCCTACACCATCGAGTAAACATTATTATATATGCAATATATTTAGGGACATGCGTTTCTTTTTATTTGTGGAACATGGAGAATACTCAAATTAGAAAAAAGCTCATGCAGAGAAACTCAGTAACTCGAAAGTTCTGGAAACTGTTCATGTTATTACATTACGTTTAATTACA